AATCACTTTTTTTGACATCACCTCATACTTCAGTTTCTCATCAAATCTTCTGACCAATCAAAAGCTCTCTGTTATTTGACATGCCCCGTGCTGATCGAGACGCTGATTATTAGGTTTTTATTTGATTGTGCTTAAGCTCAACCATTCTTACTGGCAGAGCTGTGAGGAAAAACAAGATTTTTGGATGTGATTTTTATTTTATTTTTTAATAAGCTACTCTGTCCAACCCTTTTGTCGTGTATTATTAGAGATTACATCAAACATTGAATAAAAAATGCACATTCTATAGCACTTTACAGAACTTTTTTGATGCACATACTGGAATTTATTTGGTAAATTTATTTCCACTGCTGTTTATGCACATTTTGTTTTTCAAAAAATGTTTATCCTACTTATTTGTGCACTTAAGTTTTCTGAATAAACATTTCCAACATTACTGCGCAACATTCCTTCTATTAAGCTTTTTTATGCAATATTTCAGAATGCACATATAAATAGGTGAATGTAAACATGGCTACGGTCTCCATTACCTGATGTGTGTTCACTTATTCTGAATCTGCGTCCAGATACGCTCTGCTGATAGTAGACAGCGCCACAGCTCTCTACAGGACAGATTACTCGGGACGAGGGGAGCTGTCTGCCCGACAGGGGCATCTGGGACGCTTTCTGCGTATGCTGCTGCGTCTCGCTGATGAGGTAAACAACATCATGCAATGCAAACAAGACCATTTTAAATATATATATAAATATATATATATATATATATATATATATATATATATTATTATTTAAAAAAAGGTTTACACACACACATGTATATATACACACATATATGAGCAATATCACACATGTAGCAGTGCAATGTATGTAGGCACTGGTGGGAGGCTTGCGTTGGCATGTGCCACCAGTGACGATATGCAGCAATATCGCACTGCTACACGTGTCATATTGCGTTTATAAAACAGTTTGACGGCATAATCGTGTATATAAAAAAAGAAAATCAGAGTCCAGAAACCCTTTTGTAAGAGGAACTACTTTCTTTCGCCATTCCCTCACATCTGCAGCTGACGTCAGAACAGCAGAAACCATTGCTACTTTACTAATGTCACTTTAGAGCTAGTGATTGAATGATTCTCTAGCGTAATGTCTAAAGTGATGACAAAACAGGTGATTTTGCTCACATTTTAAGATTATAAGGCTGAACAGCATGAAATGCCATCAGTCTACAGAGATTTCCCAGTATTTCTCTGTTGCAATCTAGAGATCACAATAATACTATGGTATAAATGCAGCACTACAACAAACAAAAGAGAGAGACTTAGAAAGTCATTTACCTGTTTAATAATGATGTGATCCGCTGTAGTTTACGCAGTTTTTTTCTAGGGCTTATAGTGCGGTCTCTGTCCCCATCTTCTGGATAAACATTGCCAACCATCTTTGCTCAGTATGACAGGCTAATGGCTGCCGACTCGCTGTCTCTCAGAATCTAAAATAGGCACTGTCCTAATAAATAAACTGCATAGTTGCAATCTACACAACTACATTCTCAACTAAAAAAACCTCAAAAGTACATTATGATGTCCAACAGCTGCAATAAATGCTTGTTGCTGTGTGTGGGTGGAGTAATACACAAGGGTGAAGGGTTAAGAGGCTGGACGGGTGCTGTTATTTGCAGAATATCGCATGGATTCAAGAACTAGACAGAACTGTTGTGTGTTGCATTGTGTTGTGTGACAGAACATGTGTATATATATATATATATATATATATATATATATATATATATATATATATATATATATTAGTTTATTATATATATTAGTTAGTATATATTAGTTTGTTTGTTTTTTTATTGTATAAGGTTTGATCTTTTGAAAATATGTCTGTTGTATCTGGTTTGCAGTTTGGTGTGGCTGTCGTCATCACTAACCAGGTTGTAGCACAGGTGGACGGAGCAGCCATGTTTTCAGCAGATCCCAAGAAGCCTATTGGTGGAAATATTCTGGCACACGCATCAACTACACGGTAAAACACAACAGATGATTGTGTTTATTAATCCTCACATAGTACTTATAGTACTAATATATTGATTAGAGCAACAAATAATAACTTGACCTCTAGTTGATCATTTGGAAAAGTGGCAGAAGGTAGAGTTTTCAGTTGAATCATCTGTTGAACTGTATCCCAATCATCACAAATACTGCAGAAGACCTACTGGAACCGGCATGGACCCAAGATTCTCATAGAAATCAGTCAAGTTTGGTGAAGGAAAAAATCATGGTTTGGGGTTATATTCAGTATGGGGGCATGCGAGAGATCTGCAGAGTGGATTGAAACGTCAACAACCTGAGCCATCAAGACCTTTGTGCTGCCCGTTACATTACAAACCACAGGAGAGGGCAAATTCTTCAGCAGGATAGCGCTCCTTCTCGTACTTCAGCCTCCACATCAAAGCTCCTGAAAGCAAGAAAGGTCAATGTGCTCCAGGATTGGCCAGCCCAGTCACCAGACATGAACATTATTGAGCATGTCTAGAGTAAGATGGAGGCATTGAAGATGCATCGAAAGTATCTTGATGGGAGTCCTGCAGGAACGCTTTCTTTGCCATTCCAGATGACTTTATTAATCAGTGATTTGAGTCATTGCAGAGATGTATGGATGCAGTCCTCCAAGCTCATGATGGAGTCAGACACAATATTCATTCTGTCTCCACTGCAGCATGACTTTATATTCTATACTGTACATTATTTCTGTTCAGTGACAAGACTTTTGTCTAAGTAAAGTCAGACCTTACTGTCCTAATTAAATCATTAAAAATGAAGGCATGATCATATTTAATTGTGGTAAAATAAGCGTAATCTAGAGGTGTTTGCCTTTCATATTAGCCTATTCTGATACCAAATGATCAACTAGAAGTCAGGTTATTTGTTGTTCCTAAAACTTGGATGGGCGACAAGACTTTTGTCAGGTAGTGTAAAAGTAACTAATTAAATTGCCTAAAAATTATATGTAATCTTAAAAAATAAATCTAAATTGTAAAAATTTTTAGCACAGCAATTACTTATAACTAGGCTCACATAGAATCTTCACACCCAGAAATAGACAAATATTTTAGACCCAAGTCTATTTATGTACTTAAGTATGTGTAAATGTTGATTTATTCAGTTTTTAATTCATTTATTAATTTTGGTGATCTTACTGAGTATGCAAATGTTTTACGTAGAATACAGTTTATATTGTAATATGTTCTGTTTTTACTAGATAAATTGTTTGAAAGATTAGCTTTGTTTAACAAACAAGTGGAACTAATTGGATTTACCTTTAAATAAGATTTATTTATAAGTTATTTTTATATCATTATTTAATTTACTACCCTCTCAAAGTTATTCTGCATAAATCTCCATTCTTTTTTTTTTTTAACACATTCTGCACAGAAATAGCAAAAAAAAGAGAAAAAAAAGTCAGCCGATTCTGTCTGACTCTGCTTATTACTGATTACACCCTAACGCCGCTCTTAATTGTGTCTCTATTGTAGGTTATACCTTAGGAAAGGCAGAGGTGAGACGAGGATATGTAAGATCTATGACTCTCCGTGTTTACCAGAGGCCGAGGCCATGTTTGCCATTAATGCTGATGGAGTGGGAGATGCTAAAGACTGAAGAAATGGAGAGTAGAGGGTCTGTCGGCCATGTATACCAGACCATCAAGAAAAGACTGCTGTTTAGTCTGGATTATTATAAAAAAAAAAAAGAGATATTTTGAATGAAAGAAAAAAACCCTTGAGGGTGAAATTTGTGGTTTATTTACATGTATGCAGATTGATGCATCTGAAAACATTTGAGCTGGTGTAATTATTCACTCTTTACTGTGATGTAAGCCTCTTTACTATGTTATTTACATCTTTTTTTATGTTTGTTTGTCTGTGTGGACTTTTTCCTTGTGTATATAAAAGTACTCATAATTAAAGTGTTTTATCTGTTAAACTAATATGTTTGCACATATATGCCTTCAGTTAAGAGCATTAAAACATGATAAAAGCAGCAAAACAACTGAGACAACTGGAATTTTATTGTCATTTCAAGACTTCAGGAAGTAAAAATAAACTGAAACATCAAGCATACTTCTAATCACAGGTATAGGTTTACTTTCTCACCATGTACAAATATAAAAAATAGGAATGATCTGACCTTCATATTATCTTCGTCTTTTTTTTAAAGGAATGAAATTCAATGTTTTGTGCTAAGATATGTGTACAACAGTAATCAGTTTAAGACCTTTGTTTTTATTTGTAAGATTACTGCTAAAAACAAAAAAATACTAATTTCAGTAAAGTACATCCGCAAACAACATTAAATAAATTAAATACGTCAAGTTAAATATTTGTATTTAATGCAAAGAGTAGATGGCGGTTTTCATTAGACTCCACCCTAATTACTTATACTGCTTGTAGATTGGTCAGTTGGGCTGTCAATCAAAGCCTTAAGCTCCGTCTGAAGAGCAGCGACGTCAGAGTCCTGAGGGAAGGGAAAAAAACTTCATTAACCTTTGGTTTAAAATATGTAACTAGTCAAAAGTTTTTTATTGATCAGCACATTAAATACATATTGAGCTTTAAGTCGTTTTCCTGAGGTAAATAACGTTATATCTTTACACGACGGTTTGTAAACTGATGTCTCAGCGGTTGCAGCACTGAACACATGAGACACGTTATGCTTTATGGTAAGTTTTGCAGCTATTTTTCTTTTCAACATATAATTCAATGTCAATACATGTTTATTTCGCGATGTATGTTATTTCTCGCTATCTATTCAACGCTACAGTACTTGAAACCGCGTTTGTAATTAAGTCCAGGTGTTGCTTTTTCTTTTTTTCCAAGAGCTATTATCGAATGAAGAGCAATGTTTCTTTCCCATACCTAAAGCTAAAGAAGTAACGGTAAACTTATAAATTTTATGTATTAAAAGTATATATCTATATTTTAAATATTTAATTATATTTGTTTACCCATCTTCAGGGTTTCTTAGACATAGATTTAATTTTGATCAACATTTGTACATTCATGTCAGGTTGACATTGAAACGACTGCACGTGTATTCTTTGAATGTTTATGTAGTAGAACCTTCTGGTCTGATTCATTCAAGTGGTTAAAAGTTTCTCCCAAGTTGTCGTCCCAGTTTTCCAAAAAAATCACATTTTCTATGATTTATTAGGAAAATATGTTAATATTCAATTTTTATTGGACAGTATTTTAATTTTTAATTAATTTAATATTCATAAATCAGGGCCGGAGCCAGGATGTCATAACTGAGGGGGGCATTTTAATGTCATTGGGGAGCACCAGACCTGGTGACTGATTTTGGTCCCTCTTTTTTCTTTCATTTCGGCTATTTATTCACTTATTTATTATTACTGTAGTGCAGTAGGTCAGGGGTGTCCAAACTACGGCCCGCGGGCCATCTGCGGCCCGCAATCAGTTTTGTTGCGGCCCGCGAGGCTTTTTATAAATATCAATAGCATCTGGCCCGCTATACAAAAATGAACGTAATTCAATAAATAACCACCGGGTGTCGCTATTACATGCATTTAATTAAGCAGCAGTTCTTGTTATGATCTATCTATCTATCTATCTATCTATCTATCTATCTATCTATCTATCTATCTATCTATCTATCTATCTATCTATCTATCTATCTATCTATCTATATACACAGTTGAAGTCTGAATTATTAGCCCCTCTTTGATTTATTTCTTCTTTTTTAAATATTTCCCAAATGATGTTTAACAGAGCAAGGACATTTTCACAGTATGTCTGATAATATTTTTTCTTCTGGAGAAAGACTTATTTGTTTTATTTCGGCTAGAATAAAAGCAGTTTTTAATTTTTTATGAACCATTTTAAGGTCAAAATTATTAGCCCCGTAAGTCTTCAGAACAAACCATTGTTGCCTAATTAACTTGCCTAATTACCTTAATTTGACTAGTTAACTTAACTAACCCAGTGAAGCATTTAAATGTCACTTTAAGCTGTATAGAAGTGTCTTGATAAATATCTAGTCAAATATTATTTACTATCGTCATGGCAAAGATAAAATAAAATAAATTAGTAATTAGAAATGAGTTACTAAAAGTAATATGTTTAGAAATGTGTGTGTGTGTGTGTGTGTGTGTGTGTGTGTGTGTGTGTGTGTGTGTATATATATATATATATATATATATATATATATATATATATATATATATATGCGTGTCTGTGTGATATATGTAAAATTTGGCCCGCGACAACGTTTTTTTTTTGCATCTGGCCCTCGGCCCAAAAAGTTTGGACACCCCTGCAGTAGGTGATCTGCCACAATGCCAGCCTGTTAGCATGAATCTCTGAAACATGGTCCCTCCCCTGCCGTCCAAAGCCACACAAGCGAACGTAACCTAAAGGGTCATGACACCCCTCACTTTTGGTTCAGGTCTCAGAATTTTTTCTTAAGATGCATCATAATGGGCGTGGAGCTCCACGAGCAAAGGGCAGGAGTGGGCGTGGCCAGCAGAGCAGGGGAGAAGGAGGGGAGCGAACAACTGTTTTCAGTTAGCTCACAAAATGAGACACAAACCGTGAGGAGACGCATGATTTTATAGTTTACAAAGTAAAATGCAAAGAAATAAACAGTAATTTAATGCCCTGATACATTTGTCATTTGTAATTTCATAAACAGATAACCACAATTTATATCATTATAAAGATAATCGTGTTAATATAAACACAATAAATGAGGACTTTTCCCTCAATCCCCGGGTCTGAATGCAGACTCAGTGCAGCAGGAGTGTCTTGCCCTGTCTATTTTAACCATTAGCCCTGCTGGTAATCTGGAGGATTTAGGCAAATATAGCAGCATGGCAACGTGCCTAAATGTGAACGAAATCCTGATAAAAGACAACGTCCGCCATTCTCCAATTCTCATACTGCTCTCCCGACAAAATGCTTGCTGCATACACACAGCTTTGCTGTATCGGCTCTGACAGCATCACGGGGAAAAACATGCAACAAACCCGGTGAATCATGAAAACAAACACATACGACCCTTCATGAACGGCTAAATACTGTGTGCCGTGGGTCTGTGTCTCACAGCTTGGCACTGGCAGGTCTTTCTTGCTGTCGGAAAGCACGTGCAGTCAGGAATAATTAAGCAGCCGGCTCTTCTCATAGGATAAGAAAGCTCCGCTATGAATAATAATGAGAAACCGACGCATCATCTTTGCACTTACAGTTCTGTGCTCCATCGCCGATTTTAATCCGCCCCAAAAATCATTTTAAACCCGGAAGCTGAAATTACCTGACAAAAGCTCAAAATGATCCAGTTTTCCCCACAATTAAAGCTAACAGGTGCTAACATTGTCTTAACTGATGCTCAACACACACAAATCTGTTAAAATCTCAAAAAAAGTACTCAAGGATTTCGTGAACCTTTAAAACAAAACCACTGTTTTTAGTTTTCTAAAAGTAATTTTGGATATAATATAAATCTTTAAAGCGGCTCAAATCAAAATGTGGTAAAAGACGATTAAGGCCCCGTTTACACTAGTGCGTTTTAGTTTTAAAACGGCGTTGTAGAATGAAAACGATCCGCGTCCACACTCGCGTTTTACCCAGCGTTTCTGAACTGCTCTCCGTCCACACCAAAACGCTGAAAACGCACATCACGTGACCACACACACACACTCTCGGGCAAGCGCTCCAGCATTCTACCCAGATGAGAGCTGTGCTTGTCGGACTGCTCATCACGCATCTCCCGCTGGATCTAATCTCACTATATTTGCTAAACGTGATATTTCATTCATGTTGTTGTCTTTATCTAACGACATATTCCCTGACTTTGGTCATTGGAATCTATTAAGTTACTTGTTCACGGGTAACATGTTTTGGTTAAGTGCAAAGATAAGTTAATGATTAATCCAGGTACATTGACTGATCGCTTGCCTTTATTTCCTACAATGTATAAACTTATTGTATGTTATACTTTTATAATTGTGGATTATTAAAACTGATTTTCAGCAAAAGAGAGGGTGCGTTTCGTATTTTCACTGAAATTGAAAGGAGGCAGTTGTTATCGGCTCCGTTTTGTTATAAATATCCACACAGTGAAGATGACGCTCATATATGCAGCACGGCGCCTCAACATTTCTGCTGTCTGTTAAGTTGCTAATATTAAAATGAAAATAGGCAGTTCCTTAAATCATGTTTACATTTTATTGTTGAGAAAGTGAAACAACGTAGCCAAGGTGATGTGAATGAAGTTATAAAGTACACTGTTTCCTTTGAAGATTTACGCGTGTCCTCGGTATGTTTTCCATATCAAACTGAGAAGGGGGAGACTGCAGCCTTGATCAACCTTGCGAAGTCTTAACTTACAAGAAGAGGATGCGAGACTGAACTGTGTGTGTTAGGCTACTTAATATTCAGGAAAAGCCCCAATCAGATAGGCGAATGTTTGCAGCCCCGCCTCCGTTTTCAGATGTCTCCGTCTTTCCCCATCCACACTGAGACGGAGCAGCAGCGTTTTAGAATGAAAACGGCCTCTCCAGCGTTTTCAAAAAGCTCCGTTTTCGGCGCTCGAGAACTCCGGCGTAGTGTGAACGGATGGCGTAACCGTAGCAAAACTTATGCGTTTTCAAACTAAAACGCACTAGTGTAAACGGGGCCTAAGTGTATTGAAAAGAGTGTAGAGTGTTTTTTTCTTTTGGTTGTGTTTGTGTGTCTGTTTTACGTTAAACATTTATTTATTTGTATTATTATCTTATTGATTTGATTGTTCTTGTGCTCTGTTCTGTAAATGTAGATGAAAGTTAATAATCTGCTTTATTGTATTTGTGTTATAATTTTTTAAAAAGTCCAAGTGTTGCTGCGATGTACCACAAAACAGGTACAAGCAACACTTATTACCTGGTTGAATCCACAATAAAAGTAATGATATGGGTAAAACTACTGAAAACTAAATTATACTTCACCTCATTTGCTCCTGCTGGTGTGTTAAGAGCTAGTTGGACCCAGTTTCTTGCTTCTGACAGGTTTCCGAGCTCTTTATGACACTGAAAACCAGCAAGTATTAAATCAATCGTATTCTAACAGTAAACCTATTTTTAAAGAGCCATTCTCATGCAATCGTTAGATTTGTTCATTCAGTTCATCCAGTTATTGCACAGAGGACTTTTACAGAAACACCTTTTTACTCAAAAATGAAATTTAGTCAAGTGGACAGTTTGACTAAAATGAAAATTCTGTCATGATTTATTTACTCTTGACTTGTTATAAACCAGTTGAGAGAATGCTGGAAACCTGTAACCATTACCTGTAACTTATTTTAGAGTCTGCATCCTCCATGAGACAATCTAGGCTACAGGACAGATCTCCTCACCTAGCCCCCATAACAGCTGCCATGAATAAGCTGTAATAAAATTTGTAAGGTCTTTTTCTCAAAGTAGTTTTAAAACATAAGCCATCTGAAGCTGGAAATATATTTCCTTTGATCCATACATGTACAGATAAAAGTGTAAACTGTTTATAAAATCACCTTTTAGTAAGACATGTCATACAATTTTTTTAGACCTCCAAGTAAAATAACCCCAATTCAAACATTTAATCTGGAGTTTTCTTTCAAAAACATCCTGCTGTTATCAGCACGCAATGAATCTTGGGATGTTTGAGGCCGCAAAGGATCCACTGGTTGGATCCTTCATGACCAGGAAAATGAAGGACGCATTTTGAGGCTGCATTTGATGGAGCCTTCATATGGATATAATCCATATAATGGATGTCAATGGTTACAGGTTTCCAACATTTTTAAGAATAACTTCTTTTGTGCTCAGCAGAACCAAAAAAATCAATAGAGTCAATAGAGGGAATAGAATAGAGAGGCAAAAGTCAATAGAGGGAAAATTATGACAGATTTTTCATGAAATATCCTTTTAAGTTCTCAGGCCATCCAAGATGTGAATTCTTTCTTCAGCAGAACAATAAAGACCATTTTTTCGCATCTGGACCTGTCTCCTTAGTCCTTGGTGATTTCATATAATGCAGGTCAATGGTCACCCATTTTTAAAATAAAAAATAAACACATAAAATCAAGTCCAAATCAATCCAATTGGTTCCTGATGATACACTGAGTTCTTATAAAGCCAAACGATCATTATGTGCAAGAAACTTAACATTTTTTACAATATTATAAACTTTAATCCAGAGCATTCGCACTAACACATTTGCAACACGAGAACTGTTTACCCAAGCTGTATTCACCTTATTCAGCGTGGACAAGTGGGCGAAGCCATTTTAATTATTTTGGCTTGAGACTTCCGGTCTCATTCACTTTCATTCATTTTATTTGTTAAAAACAGCTTGTTCGACTGCTTGATGTTGCAAACTGATATTTTCTTATTATATTATTCTACTTTGTCTGTAAAGTCATGCAAAACTTATTTGTAAAGTAAGTAGTTTGACTGTTTTCTGATGTTTATTGCTGTTTTCTGAATATTTATTATTAGTCATTTGTCCCATAGGCAGCTGAATTGGAAGTTCTGAAACAATCACAAAAACGAGCGCACTACCACATTAAAAAATAAGATCGATATTAAAGAGCCCATATTATGGGTTTTTGAAAATTCCCCTCCATGTAGTGTGTAACACAGCTCTAAGTGAAGTGAAGTATCCAGCTAAGGCTTAAATCTGTTAGTGTACAGTGTTTAAAACGGTTGATTCATCTATAAAAGAGTCGACTCATAGTGCGTCAAACGAGTCGCCTTGATACCGATTCATTAGATGTTTCACCATGACGTACGAACGAAACAAAGTTATTCACGTGCACGCGCAAACCCGGGAGATTTCAAACCTGAGGCCCCGCCCTCTGACGCAGAAACCCAGACACACACACACACCCACAAACACACACACACACAAACATGCCGGTCGATTGAAGTCACACTACAGAGGGATATTATATCGAGTCTCTACCCAAAGATGAAAGCTCAGCATTATAACCAAGCAGTTGGAAACTACTGGAAACTTCTGCAAACTACATGCTACAAAGAATACTTCATCAGCGTTTGTTAAAGGAAGGATCAGTAAAGAGTAACTTACTGCTGGACGTCAGGATGGATTTTTCTTCCTCCATTTCTCAAGTGTAAGTACGTATGTATTTAGTTGTGATTTGTTACTTGTAACTGCGTGTACTGTATCAGGTTAACTGGCTATATTCTCTTATCGCGTGCCAAGTCACGTTAAAAACGCGACGCGTGCTGCTTTGTTAACGGAGCTCCGTGGACGAGGAGTAGTATGTGTGTCTGTCTGTGCGTGTGCGTGCGCTGTCGTCCGGAGGTGTGTGTGTGTGTGTGTGTGCGCGCGCGCGCGCGTTGTTGTCCGGAGCACGGTTAAGTGCGCGTGTGTGTGTGTGTGTGTGCAATATGTGTGTGTGTGTGTCTGTGAAAAGAGCAGAGTGAGAAGCTAGGAGATCTCCTCAACTGTTTTTGGAGTTTTTGCTCAATAAAATAGTCGTCTGAATTTTCAAGTCCATAGTCTGTATTTACATTGACCCATTGGCAGCTAAAATCCACGCCTACACTATCGAGCGTGTATGAACTGTAATTACTTTTATATGCTGATTAGCTGTTTGGCTTTTCACTCTGACTGAAGGCAGTCGACCAATCGCAACAGACTGTCATTGGTCCAATCAGCGCAGATTAGCTTCGCGCTAAGGAGGGGTTTGGGAACAAATGAATCACTGGACGATTCATACAGGAGTCGCTGGGATAATTAGGTAAAAATAAATGCAGATTATAAGACCATGAAAGTGTTTTTTGACCTTGCATGCATATTAAACTGTTGTTGGAGACCCTTACAACCAAGATATGACCCTATTTCATGTATAATATGGGCTCTTTAAAGCTATTATATTGTAAATAATCTTCAATTTCCTACACTTCTGCCAAAAAATGTGTTTGTTTCGCTTCACTAGGCATTAGTGTGTCATAAGGAGTCATGGCTACAGATTTGGACTTGCATATCTGTTTATTTTTAATGACAATAATAAATATGTTAAACATTGACTGCCATTTTATGAATCATTAAATAAGGTTTAAGCTAAAAATCTTTAATGTTATACTGAAGAAAATTGTTATTTTGTGCGTGAACTATCCCTTTCCTATCTAGTCATAGTCTTACATGACAGAATTATTGATTTTTCATTGTTCCTTCAAAATACATTTGTTTTATGATTGTGAAGAATGAATCTATTATAGACAATACCTTGGCGATATACAGCCGAACAGTTTTGGAGAAACCGGGATTTAACTCCTCTGCCTAGAAATCGGACAAAGCAGAAACATGCATTTTATGAATCCTCCTAAGCTTGAACTTAAAATAAATACTTATCCAAAAAAAACTCTGATCTCACTGATACCTTGAGGAAATTCTCTAAAGCTTCATTCAGTGAGGATGTTGGTGAAGTTTCATAAAACGTGGCAGCAGCTTTCTTCTCCAACCAACTCAAAGAGCTCACCTACAACACACACACAGAGAGCGTTTAATACAGTCATCTAGAGCTAGAGGTAGTTTACATTTTAACACTTTTTTTAATGCGACTCATAACTGTTTAATTGCCTAATATAAGGTCTGTAATTAACAAAAGCTCAAGGTAATTTGTTTTATTCTACAGGGCGATATGAAAAATGAATTAACAGTTGAATAAACTGAATAAAATTAATTCCTCACTGGATTTAAACCAACACAATCCAATAGAACTTCAGTTAAAATGCTTTTACAAATACAACGTCACCGCCTGAATGTTAAATGTATTAGTAATACCCCTTGTGAATTTTGTTTGGGACAATAAACACAATACAGTAAATTCATATATAAACTGTAAAAAAGCTTGATTGTTTTTTTTTTAAACTTTAAAATATCAACTATATAATTACATAGCTATATTAAGCTATTTTGCAACTATTTTGGGTATTTCAAAAAGCACTATACCAACAAACCTCTTTGGACTGGATCGAAATGTAGCTTTAAAAATTCATAAAGGTGATCAATTGTAATAAATACCATTATAAAATGACACCTATAATTATTTATAACTTACTGTATTCCATGGCATTTTTGAATACTTGATTCTTATTGGTCCATTGCAACATAAAACATTTATATTATTCTGAGAAAACCACCCCTGAATCTAATAACATTCGTTTCTTATTTGGGTACCACCCAATCATGTTGACCATGAGTGAATATCTGAATAAGAATAATGTCTGAATAATAATACAAGTAGGTTAGTGTAGGCTGCATACAACTGTTTTTCTTTCTGCAGGTTTTACATTAGAAGTGTTAGTAAATTATTACAGCTCAGTTCAATGTTTTATGTCTTATTGTTTTATTTTGTGACTAGTTACCCTTGTACTAATTGGGATAATGTACATTTAGCCAGTTGTTTTGTAGAATAAAGCCTGCTAGAAGAACCAAATGGAAGTACATTATCCTTGAATGAATACATTTGAACAGACCTCTAAACACCATCGGCCCAGCAGGTAAAAACAAATGGGATCGTCGTCACACAGAGCTAAAGCTCGATCCAAATGCTCCTGTCAGAATACATCCAGAAACAATCACAGTCATTAAATGCACATCTGAAGACACTCAACTCTATCTTTAGTTTGTTTTAAGCTCTGGCATAAAGGCTCACCTTGAGTATGTGACCGCTTTTCAGTTTTCCATGAATGCTGTCGTACTGTGAAGACTGGCGTGCGAGGATGGCAAACCTGAAAGAGAGAGCAGATGCGTTACCAACAAAAGACATTAAACTAGGTGAAAATGTGGGAATGTTTTTTTTTCATACCATTTGTGACAATCTGCACTCAAGCCATTCCTCGTCAGCGCTGCTTCGGCTTCATAATTACCTTGTGAGTCAAAGGGTCAAAGGTCAGTGTATACTGCAAAACATACCTGTAAATTAGCAGTTTTCAATATTTTCCAAAAAATATTGGAAGTTTTCAAAGTTGGAAAAAGTGAGTTTTATTAGTATGTGTAATAGTTTAAATTGATATATTGTCTTGGTTGATGTTGTTTATTATGGTAAAAAAAAAAAAAACCTGCCAGTAAATTTTGGGTTGTTTAACAGACTTATTTTTTATACAGAGGTGTCTTAAAAGCATTGAAAAAGTCTTAAATTTGATCATCTAAAATTAAGGCCCTAATAGCCTTGAATTTAGTATACAAAGTCTTGAATTTCGTTGCAAAGGTCTTATTTTATTTGTTTATTTTTGCATTTCCTAGGATAAAAGTTTATACCATAACAAAATAACCTGTTACTAATGAAGGCTAATTAAAAAATTCATGCAGCGTAACGTTGAGTGCATTTCGCACTCCTCGTCATAGCAGAAAGTGCGACTAGGCGAGCGCGAGTATTTACAGCGCTCCAACTACTTAAAAAACGCAGAAACTGTGCTCAATTTCCCTGCGAGTGATTTCTGGAAAGTCTTTCACTGACACTTGCAGCAAAAACTCCTATTTCACTGTGATTGAGAGAATGAAAGTAAACTCTCTCTCTCTCTCTCTCTCTCTCTCTCTCTCTCTCACTGTGGCCCATTTGACCTGCTGGCATGACTTTTCCTCTCCTCTCGGCTGTTACAGCGATACTTCTGGATAGAGGTCTCCATTCCAGCGGGACCCAAATTTCTTGCGGCACGGGAATACATTTCCGAATAAAGTGGTGAAAAAACTTATAAATAAATCTTATTTAAAGGTAAATCCAATTAGTTCCACTTGTTTGTTAAACAAAGCTAATCTCTCATATAATATATCTAGTAAAAACAGAACATATTACAATATAAACTGTATTCTACATAAAACATTTGCATACTCAGTAAGATCACCAAAATTAATAAATGAATTAAAAACTGAATAAATCAACATTTACACATACTTAAGTACATAAATAGACTTGGGTCTAAAATATTTGTCTATATATGTGTGTGTGTGTGTGTGTGTGTGTGTGTGTGTGTGTTTATGTGTGTGAAAAAGAGAGTAGTCACTTGTACATAATTATTTTCTAGGGTTCAAAATTTATACCGATTTTACATTTTTCCCTCATACTTCTGTCGGAATGGGTACGAAGTTGGCATAAAATTTTGTTTGAAATAGTATTAAAAATAAGGCCTTGAATTTCATTTGGTGGATCCCGGGGGTACCCTGTACTTTGTCAGTACACTGCAAAATGTTTGCTATGTATTTGCAGTAGGGATGCACCAATTTATTTATTTTTTTAAAATAATTCTCTAAAAATCTATTTTTCAGTTTTTGACTGAAAATGAAAAATAGCTGAAAATATGAGCCAGAAAAAAGGCTCTAATGCACTGCACTGCCAGCATTGTTCAGCGTGCTGGTTTCGCTTCAGCTGAAGTCACTGCTGTAAAGTGGCTTTCACACTGAACACAGAAAGCACTGCAAACCCATTTATTTCAATGGCTTGTGCTGCACAATAGACTGATTTCACGCAGCCGCCATTTTAAACTGCTAAATCGAGGCTGTGGTGGGAAGAAACCCATCAGTATCGCCTGAATCACAGAGGAATGTTGTGTACCTGGCTGTTTATCTTATCAGCGAAGAGAAAGTGACACAAATTTATCATTTCATCGCTTTCAAGGTGACCCGAAGGTCCGTTCTGAATGAATAGTGAAAATAAAAAGGGATATTGGACCTCATTTTCAGCTAAGTTAAGGGAAATGGCACTAGTTAGCTAACGTTTTCTGTCCCAAACACATGATTTTGATGCCATTTATAAAAAGCTTAAGTTAATGAACTGATTCTTTCACTATATTAGACTTAGTCACGATACTAAATTCATTTTCAGTAAACATTTAAGCACTGTTGATGGGGTTCTTAAACCGCGCTGATTTACCATGCTTGTAATTGTTTAAATTAAACCTATTGAATGATATTACAGTGAAGTTTACACCATTTCTGCATTTTTAAAATCTCTGCAACAGCTGGATGTTTGTAGTGCACAGCATGTTGCTGCAATGTTTACAGTGCTGATCCTATATTTCCAGGTTTCTTCCCACCGCAGCCACGCTTTTGTGTTTTAAAAGGCTGCCGCGTAAAATAAGCATATTGTGGTTTGTTGCTATGCTGAGCAAAGTGTAAGAGCAGCAGAGTGCACCATTAATTAGCTTGCTCGAACGCCACAGTCAAAGTTCAAAATATCTCATTTCAAAAATATCTCATTTCATCTCAGTTCAAATATCTCTAAAGTTATCAATGCATATCCACTTAAAGCAAACAACTCTGCTCAAATAACTTCATGATGCTTGCAATAGCGATACTGTGCTGTCATGGCAATGCAAGTAAAATAATGCCTCATGACTCAATTACTATCAATAAATGTTTGTCACTAGTTAAATGCGGCTATTTTCTTGGCTTGTGTTATTTTTAAATCAATGCAACTGTAGTTAAGGAGTCAAATTTTTAAAAGATATACAAAATTACATTATGGAATTAAATAAAACAAAAAATAAATAATGCAATAATAAAAAGTAGTTTTGATTTAGATATTGAGCAAACAGCATCCAAAATTTCGTTTCGGCCTAAAACTTTAATTTCAGTGCATCCCTAATTTGCAGTTTTTCATATAATGTATGATGTTAGAATGTGTTGTACACTTCATAGGGCACTGGGTTGTAATGTATTATTGTAATGTTTCCTCACCTTGCTCTGCGTAGTTCTTCTTTTCTTCTCTGTTTTCAGTTGTCTCACACATGTCGCTGTAGGCGCGAGCCAGTCGCCACATAAACTCTGCATTATCAGCATACTGATCACACACACACACACACACACATTATTATAATGCTATACGTTTTAAAGCTTCTTTGTCTGAACTGTGAACTATTTTGTTTGAGAAGTGTAACTGCAACTACACGTGTTATCACTGTCGCCTCACAGCAAGAAGGTCGCTGGTTCGAGTCCCAGCTGGGCCAGTTGGCATTTCTGTATGAAGTTTGAATGTTCTCCTCGTGTTGGCATGGGTTTCCACTGGGTGCTCCGGTTTCCCCAACAAGTCTAAACACATGCGCTATAGGTGAACTGAATAAACTAAATTGGCCGTAGTGTATGAGTGTGTGTGTGTATAAATTTAAGTGTATGGGTTGCAGCTGAAAAGGCATCCGCTGCGTAAAACATAGGTGGTGACCCCTGATAAATAAGGGACTAAGCCAAAGAAATATGAATGAATGAAATGTAACGGCTATATTTTCCATATTTAATGTAAACGACAAAAAGATTGCTTTGAGTTATCAAGAACAATTTGATCAATTACAATAGTACATTTTAATGTTCAATGTAGATTTAAATACTAGAAAAACGAAAATTTAACTAAAAGTTTTACTTTTATGATTTAAATAATATAAATTATACACAACAGTTCAAAACTAGATTTTTCAAAAGTTAAAAATAGTAGATAAAGTTAGTAAATAAAAAAGAGTAAAAAGTAGATTTGTAAAATGTGTTAATTTAAGAGAATATATATTTTAATACCTTTTTAAAACGGTGACCCAATTTATTTTTGTAATGTCAAGCTGAATTTTTGATGTTATTACTTTCGTTTTAGCTTCATGTGTTCAAGAAACATTTCTTATTAAAAACCATGTTTTTGCTAAATATTTTATGTAAATAATTATTTTCAGAACGGTTTGCTGTATAGAAATTTCAAATGAACCTCATTTATTTGAAATGGCACTATTACTGTAACTTCAAATACTTTTTACTGTAACTTATTAAAATCTTTGATGAAATGTATATTTTCTATTATAGTTTTTTTCTGTATATTTTATTTATAGTATGTTTATAGTAGCTATAATATTTATAGGATATGTCGAGTCAAATGGTTATCTGTTGAGTAGCTCTAGAATTGTTTTTATTGTCTTATTCTGTATTGCTGTAAATTTACATTTATGTTTAAGTAGTATGTATGTAGCACCATGTTTTGTCAGACATGACATTTCATTCTACTATATGTAATAAAAATTAAAGTAGCAGAATGATTAAAAAAAGCTTGACTTGAAATAAACTGTGTATTTCTTATAAAAAGAAAACACTGGCCCTCAACTTTTTAATACATTTTGTCCAAATTAATTTGTGACTACAATCAAACAAAGATTACAACTTTTCTGTGAATATTGTCTAAAATAAATTTATGCAATTATTTTGAAACATAAATGGTTCATTTTATCAGGGTTCATACACATTTTTACCATTAAAATTCCAGGATTTTTACAAAACTTCCTTGCAGATATTTATGGCCTAATGTTTAATGTAATGTCTATGTACAAGTGTAAATAAGAAAAACTGAACGTTCAAATTTATTACAGCATATCAAAAAAAAAAATTGACAATCTATGTAGTTTATATTTATTTTTATATCTATTAAATAGTTTTTAGGAAGTATCTTTTGTAGAAAATTGTAGAAATGTTGGCTTGTGTTTTCGCAAGACTTAAAAGCAGAGTACAAATTAGCCTTTAGCACCTACACTATCGTCCCTCTGTAGTTAGAGATTGTTTCTGGACACAACACTCAAAATGTTTTACAGTCAAAGCGAACGAAGCAGAGACAAAGCTCAAAGTGTGAGTAGCTTTTTTTTAACTCCACACAGAGAACATACAAAAAGGGACAGACAGCACAGTTGTATTAAAAATGTACCCAATAATATCCATATACTCTCATTCACACACATACACTATGGACAATTTAGCTTACCCAATTCACCTACAGCGCATATCTTTGGACACCGGAGCACCCGGAGGAAACCCACATGAACACAGGGAGAACATGCAAACTCCACACAGAGATGCCAACTGACCCAGACAAGGCTCAGACAAGGCCAACTGTGCCACCGCAGCGCCCCCCAATAATATAATCTCAAATATATTCAAGTACACAGATAATTGTTAAACAAATTTCTATGACTTTTTCAAAACATTTTGGGTTTATTCATATTTCCAAATCTTTTCCTCTATAGATATCAGTCACTCACCAGCGGCCTGTTCTCCATCAGCAGCTGGAAGCCTTCCGTTTTCTTTTCAGCGTCCCCTGCATGCAGTAGATCACACTGAGCGAGCAGGAGGACGAGTTCAGGAATGGGAATGTCCGTTAAAGATTCCACCATCAGCGCTGAATCTTCATCCTCCTCTTCCTCAGCCTGTGAATCTTCCTGCCGCAGGGTAAGCACAGTGGCGCAGCTCTGCTCTTCATCCTCCTCTGAGTCTCTGTCCTCATCCTCTCCATCTTTATCTGTCTCGCGATCTGTCTCTCTGTCAGTGTAGTCGGACTCAGCATTGGAGTAGGCCGTGGAGTATCTGGATAAGAAAAAGAGTTAACTGTGTTTCTTAACTGGTTTCTCAGTAGTGGATGTCATCATGGTTGGATAAACTTCGAGCACAGTGAATGGGAGAGTACAACAAATTGCTGAAATAATAAAAGAAAAACTCCATGATGGTGTTATCAAGACTTTCAGAAAAAGGGAAAAAAAATGTATGAGACTGATAATGGCAGCCAGAAGAGAGAACAAGTCAAATGTACTGTCCTGCCCCCATAAACGCTGCATTAGAAACACCTCGCATAAGTGGTAATTTGATGCAAAGACTGTATAATACATAGATAAGTACATATAAATGTGCAAATGTGTCAAATTATTAAGAACTTTTTTGTATTTAAGATTATGGTGATAGTCATAACAGTCTTGTGAAAAGGGGGAAAACCCCAAAGGCAAGAGATTTAGAGCAGTGGTTCTCAAACTGTGGTACGTGTACCACTAGTGGTACGCAGGCTTCCTTCTAGTGGTACACGGAGGAATTAAACATGTCATGTACGCGCTACATATTTCAAAATTTATTAAAAATGATGTATATAATATGCCATATATGACATATAGCCTATTTCTGAGGTAATCTGCCACGTTATTTTAACTGTGCAGAGTTGTAGCTGCTTTACTGGGCCTACTACTTTACTGTATTTCAGTACTGCTCATTTTGGTGGTACTTGGAGAGACTATTTTTTTTCTGAGATGGTACTTGATGAAAAAAGTTTGAGAATCACTGATTTAGAGCATTGCAGCAAAGTTCTTAAATGAATTAGTTCACCCAAAAATGGCAATTCTGTCATTAATTACTCGCCCTCATGTCGTTCCAATCCCTTCAGACCTTTGTTCATGTTCTTAACACAAATTAAGTATTATGGAATACTTCCATACTCTTTAGTACACTAAAAACTGTATATGAGCCAAGTAGTATGTCCAAATTCATAGGTCATAGAATTCGACAATCAGTATGCGAGAAGTACCTGGATGATTTACTACTTTTGGCGAGATTCTGAAGTGCGCATCCCATGCACGTTCTGCTATCCCATGATGCCCCACGAGAGAATTCATGAATGGGAGTGAAGCGACGCAACTGACGTGGTTAGGTCACGTAACCATGACAAAATGGTAAATACAGTACGTCCGAATTCCTTCATACTTCTAACAGTCATACTGTATAGAATGTACTTTTTTAACAGAGTAGTACGTTTACGTTCAAATGCAGTCCCTAATGAGTAGTAGACAGTTTCAGACGCAGACATAGTATAAAAAAACAGAATGCAAAAAGTGCATGGATAACCTACTACTTCCAGTAAGACTCTGAAGTGTGCATCCAATGAACGCTACATTATCCTATAGTCCCACACAAGAGAATTTATGAATGGGATTAAAGCAAAGCAACTAACGCAAGTAGGTAACGTGATGATGACTAATGACAGATGTAGTATGTCCGAGTTTCCTTCATACTACTCGCATTAATACTATATAAAATATAGTTGTTTTCTAACGGTCGTGAAGTAAATTCATATTCAAATGTTGAACCTATTACTAATCGCATGTAGTAGACTATTTCGGACACGGCCCAAGATATTTTTAATAAAATGCGAGAGCTCCCTTATCCTCCACAGACAGCAATGGTCCCAAGTCATTTAATGTACAGAAAAAGAACCAAAAATTTTGTCAAAACATTCCATATGACTTTAGTGGTTCAAGTGGAATCATGTAAAGCTCCAAGAACACTTTTGTGCACTAAAAGAATTACTTTGTGTGTTCTCTACCGGTCAGGTCAAGGTGTGATTTACTAAGACGAGCAGGAAATATTTAATCAGCAACGTAACACAAGCGTCATATTGCCCACACGCCCTGGACCTGGTACAGAAGATAGTCAACAAACATCAGAGTCAGTTTTACAGTTGTTTTGGTGCTCACACGTGTTCTCGGAGCTTTGTATGGTTAAAGTTGAACCACTGAAGTCACATGGAATGTTTTGACATCTCAAATCTCTACGTCAAGTCAGAGATCAGCCAAAATGCTTTCAATGATGTGCATTTGACAGCCTGAGTCAGTAATGTGAGTTTAGAATTTAATCATTTGAAATATTTTTTTCCAAAACACATTGAGCTGCTTCATAAGACATGCGGTAACACCCTGGCCGCGTATGGGTTAGTTTGATGATATATGCACTTTTAGAAGCTTTAAAAAAAGGGACACTACCTAACACCATTTCACAGTATGAAAGAGCCAGAATGTTTTATTATAACGTATAATAAAACGTATTATTTTGTCTGACAGAGGAAAGTCATATCCACAAAGGATGCCTGAAGGGTAAGTAATTTTAATTTTTGGCTAAACTATTCTTTTAAGGGAACACTTGGATAATTAAGGGTGAATAATGACATCTTGCCACCCCTGGTTTCAATTAGGGTACTCTTAAATTAACTAAAAGATTTCATGTAACTGGTTGCTGAATCTAAAATCCATGTAAATCAAGCTCATGAAAGCTCTGTGACATACCCGACCTCGCTGTCATCATAAGCACTTGCAATCCCAGCACTGGCGGTGAAATAAATAGAGCTGGAGCTCATGGATTCAGTGCGCTCCCTCGGCATGTGTGAACGCCGCCGTCGCGATCTCTGACTCTCCTCGACAGTCTTTCTGATAAGACAGAACATTTTGATAAGACTTGTATTATTCAGAAGAAACAACAAGTGAGGGAATGAATGAAATATGTGTGGCAAAGCCAGAGGAGACTTAACTATGACAAGTGACGTTATATGTCAAAGTCTAGTGAGGCATGAGAGAGAATTAGATGAAAAAAGAGATAACAAAATGAGACAAGACTTAGATGAGACAAAAGATTAAAGTTAAAATAAGACATGAGAGAAATGCACATAAGGCAAGAGGACATCAGAGAGATTAAAATAAGTTCTATTGATAAAAGAGACTCAAATGAGATGAAGGGTCAAAAGAGAATTGAGGGAGACTCAGAAAAGACACATGAAAATCAGATGAGAGAAGTGAGACTTTGAGACGAGAATAAGTTGAGACAATAGGAAGATTCAGATGAGACACTGGAGACTCAAATGAGACAATGAAAATAAGTTGAGATAGGCGAGAATTAAATGAGTCAAGAGTAAGATGAGACAGAAGAAAGATTTAGATGAGACAATGGAGATGGTAACAAATGAGATGAAAAGGGGGTTTGATAAAATTTGAGACATGCAGATGTTTTAAATTCAGAGGTAAAATATGAGAAGAGAGAGAGAGAGAGAGAGTAAAGACTCAAATAAGATGACAGAGTCAGGAAAGACATAAAAGAGACTCAAACTAGATAAGGGGTCAAAAAAGACTCAAATGAGATGAAGGGTCAAAAGAGACATGACAGAGACTCAGAAAAGACACATGACAATCAAGCGAGACAAATGAGACGAGAATAAGATGAGACAATAGGATGATTCAGATGAGACTCTGGAGACTCAAATGAAACTATGAAAATACGTTGAGACAAGCGAGACTTAAATGAGATGAGAATAAGATGAGACATGTGGAAGATTTAGATGAGACAATGGAGACTCAAATGAGACAAGATTAGATGAAGTTTGATGAGACATGATGGAGACTGAAAGAGAGGTGTAAAAGTCTGAATAAACAATAGGGAGAGTCGGAAAAAGAAAGTCAGATGAGGCTTAGTCAGGAGAGACTTAAATAAGATAGGGAAAGGAGGCTTGATGACAAGAGAGAAATTCAGATATTTAAAATTCAGAGGAAGAATATAACAAGAGAGACTCAAATGAGACGAGAGTACAATAAGATGAAGTCTAATGAGACATACTGGAGACTCAGATGAGATGAATGTCAGCAGAAACAACAGAGAGAATAGAAGGAAAGAAAATTGGATGATGAGAGAGTCTACTGAGACAGAAATAAGACTCGGATAAGACAAGAGAGGAACAAATGAGATGAAATGGGTTTGATGAAATTTGAGACATGCAGATGTTTTAAATTCAGAGGTAAAATATGAGAAGAGAGAGAATGGAGACTCAAATAAGATGACAGAGTCAGGGAAGACATAAAAGAGACTCAAACTAGATAAGGGGTCAAAAAAGACTCAAATGAGATGAAGGGTCAAAAGAGAAATGACGGAGACTCAGAAAAGACACATGACAATCAAGCGAGACAAATGAGACGAGAATAAGATGAGGCAATAGGATGATTCAGATGAGACTCTGGAGACTCAAATGAAACTGAAAATACGTTGAGACAGGCGAGACTTAAATGAGATGAGAATAAGATGAGACATGAGGAAGATTTAGATGAGACAATGGAGACTCAAATGAGACGAGATTAGATGGAGACTGAAAGAGAGGTGTGAAAGTCTGAGAAAACAATAGAGGGAGTCGGAAAAGAAAGTCAGATGAGGCTCAGTCAGGAGAGACTTAAAGAAGATGGAGGAAGGAGGCTTGATGAGACGAGAAATTCAGATAATTAAAATTCAGAGGAAGAATATAAAAAGAGACTCAAATGAGACGAGAGTACGATAAGATGAAGTCTAAAGAGACATACTGGAGACTCAGGTGAGATGAATGAAAGTCAGTAGAACCAACAGAGAGAACAGAAGTGAAAAAAATCAGATGATGAAAAAGTAGAGTCTACTGAGACAAAAATAAGACAAAAGAGGTAAATGAGATGAAAAGGGGCTTTGATGAAATGTGAGACATGCAGATGTTTTAAATTCAGAGGTAAAATATGAGAAGAGAGAGAATGGAGACTCAAATAAGATGACAGAGTTAGGGGAGACATGAGAGAGACTCAAATGAGAAGTTATAGAGAAAAGAACCACAAGAGAGAATACAAGGATAACAGAAAGTCAGATAAGACATTGAATACTCAAATGAGACATGTGACATGTACAAGTCAAATAAAGCAAGAAAGAGATAAGTGGGGTTAGAGAGAAAGTCAGGTAAGAAAAGAGACAAAAGAGTCAAGTAAGACAAGAGGGAGACTAAGATGAGACAAGCATTAATAGAGTGAATCTGAGGAGAGGAGAGAAATAGATGAGACATAGGAGGCAAGATGAGTCAAGTAAATAAAATAAAAGAAAGTCTGATAAAGTGAGGGAGACTTGGATGAGACTATTGAATGCCAGACAACCTGAAAAACAGTAGTAGAGACAACGAAAACATGCATGAGAATAATGAGAAAGGAGAGAAACCAGGGAGACAAGTGAATGTCAAAAGGACAGACTAAGAAGAGAGAAAAGATGAAGTCATATAAGACTGGGGACTGAAATGAGACAAAAGTTAGGTGAGTGAGACATGACGGAGACTGAGATGAGACAAGGATGAACAGAGTGAATCTGAGGACAGAAGAAAATGTTAGATGACACGTTGGAGGCAAAAATGAGTCAAAAGAATCAAACAAAACAGAAGAAGAAAATCTTAGAAGACAGGCAAATGTCAAAAGAGAATATGAGAAATAAGGAAGTCAGTTGAGACATGATGAGAGACTCAAATGAGACTAGAGCCGGATGAGATAAAAGGGACACTCAATCGAGACAATTCAAAGAAAAAAACAGTAGAGAACTGAGGTTAAAAATTTGGATGAAACATTTGAGACTCAAATGAGAAAAAAAGATGAGGTAGGAGGGACTCGAATAACACAAATAAGCATATGAGAAAGCATCGTCGAGGGAAAGTTGTATGAGCCAAGAACGAGACTCAAATGAGACAGATGTCATAAGTTAGATAAGAAGAAACCATGTTCACTCACTTGACGTCTTCAGCGATGGTGGTGGTGATGTCCTTCAGACCCTCACGTAGCTCTGCGATCTCATTCCTCAGACTGGACACGCTCTTCATCACCTCATCCAGAGTCTTCCTCAGCTCCTGCTGCTGATCAGGAGACAAACCTTGCACCGCTGCAGTAAGAGCTGAGGAATCCACTGAAATCACACACAAGCTCATCATCAGAGTCATATACACATGTCTAGTGCACCAAGTCATAGTTAAAGGTGCTGTGAAATATATTTTTTTTAGATGTTAGCATCAATAAGTTAGTCTTACAGATATTAGATACCCCTGGGTTATTAACAGAGTTGGGTGTAACGTGTTTCACAGTATTCCAATTACATTTTTGGGGAACGCAATAATGCAACGAATTACATTTTAAATGTGTGTAATTTCATTACAGTTACTGAAGTTAATGTAAAGTGTTACTTACTTTACTAATATAGTTTTTAGAAGAATAAAATGCTTCTTTTAAATCACGTTTTCGCTGCATTATCAGTTAATAAGCATGCGGTTTTAAATTGCTAGAGAGTGTGAGCTGAAATGGTTGTTAACAAGAGTACTTGCTTCTTTAAGTGGAAATACAGACATTGATTTTATTGAGCATAAAAACTAAAATATTACTGTGAAATGCAGTCTCTGTCCAGTCTCTAAAGAACTTTCTACCGCTTTTAACTAAAGACTAGAATACATGAGACATGTCACTCATATCTTTTTGAATAGGGAAAAGTGTAACTGTCAATCAGGTGAATAAAACCCCGCCTACTAGTACAGGAGCCAATCAACGAACGCTAAATGGTTAAAGCCCGCCTTCTAGTATAGGAGCCAATCATCGATCGTTATAGACTGACGATACTCTGAGGTAGGGGCTTGAAAGTTTCAGCAGATTTTGAGTGATTCAGATGTTTAGAAATGAAACTAAAGGGGCAGCTGTTGTTCAGTTTTATTGGTGTTTCTTAATATGAAATTCAGTCGTAAGCTTGTCAAACAATTTTGGAGAATTTGATGTTTCCCCATTTGACAGAATGCCCGAGAGGCGTTTCAAAGATGGCCGGCGAGTGAAATGACTTGCCTTAAAGGGACTTTGTTTTAACTCAACCAGCCAAAGACAATACTCGTCACCAAGGAGGACACCAGCGCCTAAAAACCACATCGGTCCAACTCAGCCTAAACAGGCTATATTGAATTTTTGTGCAGGATCTGAAGTGAAGGTATCTTCTAAATGTTCACATATCGCATCTTTTGCGCGCTCACATTATCCAGGCACGCCAGTTGAAAACCGCAAGTCAAGTGACAAGAACTGAGCAATCAGCTTCATTCTTTGCATGGAATATACACATTTTGTTAGACTAATTACCTCAGACATACACAGAACACCCAAACACTGCAGTGCTACTGTATTTCCTGCTATGGATGTCAATGGGTACAGGTATCCAGTTTTCTTCTAAATGTCTTCTATTGTGTAAAAAAAAAAAAAAAAAAAAAGACAAACCGGTTTAGAACAAGTGGATGATGAGAGTGCTTATGATTGCTTGCAGCTTGCCCTGCATTATTCAATTTATGATTCACCAATCAGATTATTCCTAAGCTGCTAAAAATACCCTAAGTTCCATCTGACAGCCATCTTAGTTTTGAAGAATCCCCCCTTCCACCCCTACTCCTCCTCTTTTACCAGATGCATGGCACGGCGACCCAGTGCTTAGCAATGTTGACTCACAGCAAGAACGTCACTGGTTCTAGTCCTTAACAAGGCCAGCCGACGTTTCTGTGCGGAGTTAACACGTTCTCCCCGTGCTTGCGTGGGTTTTTCCCGGGTTCCGCGGTTTCCTCCCACCATCCAAAAACATGCAACTTAAGTTAATTGACTAATCCAAATTAGCACCATAGGCATGATAGTAAGTAGTTATCTCCTAAGAGTACTCACTATCTGTTCATTAGCTACTACAGCAGGGGAGTTCTCGACTTTAAACTCCCCTCTCGCCTTGCAAAAGGGAGGGAGCCCCGGGCTTGAGTATCTTATGACCTCAGGGCTCAGCATGCCAAACAAGCTTTACAATCGATCATCAGCTAAGTGTGAACTCTTGAAAAGTGTTTTGAATTTGTCAATCTGCTGTGATCAACCCATTGTAATGTTTTTCAGTCAATATTAAATTACTGAAAGAGCTGCAGTTTGTTTTGTATTAATATTTTATATGTTTTAAAAGTAACTTCAAAGTAAAGTAATTAGTAATCTGAATACTTTTTACATTAAGTAATTAGTAATGTAATCAGATTACAATTTACCAGTAGTAGTCAGTAATTTGTAATCTAATACTTTTTACAATTCACTAACCCAACAACGGATATTAATAATTTCAGGCTTGACTGTATTAGTCTTGTTTTTGAATCTGCCACTATGCTCCAAATCTCATTTGAAATTAAAGCGACAGTCGCCAAAATGGCAGGATTAGACTCAAAGCCTAAAAGGGGCAGTTTAAAAAAGTTATCTTAGTGTGGTGTTCTGAGCTTAAAGTCATAAACACTCTAGAGCAGGGGTGTCAAACTCAGTTCCAAAAGGGCTGCAGCTCTGCACAGTTTAGTTCCAACCCTAATTAAACACACCTAATCAAACTAATTGAGTCCTTCAGGCTTGTTTGAAACCTACAGATAAGTGTGGTGGAGCAGGGCTGGAACTAAACTGTGCAGGGCTTCGGCCCTCCAGGAGTTGAGTTTGACACCCCTGCTCTAGAGCGGCAGTTCCCAACAGGGGGGTCATGTCATATTTTAAACAAATTTTAGCAGTGGACAATTAGGAGAACGATCGTGTTGCTGTAGTTCATTTTATCCCCTGCAAAAAATTAGTAATTCATCCTCTACAAAAAAGACAGAATCTCACTGATTCGCCTTTAGTAGCTATACTGGAACCCGATGAGGAAGCTCCAAACATTTCGAGTCGCAGCGCTAGAAATACTAGAATCTTGAAATGCAGGAAATACCAAGATAGTTACCTGAACTGTGGTTTTACTCTATTTCCTCGAAGCAAAGAGTCCCTGACCCAGCCACAGTGCATTATCTGCGACAAGTTCCTGCTAACGAATGCATGAGGCTGTCCAAATTAATAAGACATTTGCAGACGACTCATCCTCAAAATGATGTTTTGCTTTTATATTTTACATTAGGCTAATATTTGTGCATAAACATATCTATATAAAGGAATAAACATATAATTTGTTGGGATTTTTTTGTCATACCTACTGCAAACTTATATGAGTGATAATAATAAATGTGGAGGGAGGCCTTAAAATACTTTACAGGGGGAAAATGGGTCTCAAATGGTTGGGAAGCACTGCTCTAACGTTAGAGACAGACATCAGAGACTTGTTTTACATATTGTAAAAAGAGCATAACAGGTCCCCTTTAAATAGTGTTGTTTTGAAGTCATACTTGCAATTTCAGATCGAATATTCAAAGTAGCGTAGTAAACAGTATAGTTACTTTCAGAAGTTGACAAAAGTTCAATAATAAACGAAAAACCGAATGTAAAACCAACTTTATCTCAATAACATTGGCAGCTAAAAGATGGTAAATGTAAATAACGCAACAAAGATGTGACCTTGCATCCACCTAAGGGAACTAGTAGCTGAAGTTAGAGTCCCTTTAAAGAGTATCCCTCTCAAAACAAGCAGCATATGAGGATGAGAATAAATATTGTACGTTATTTATGTCGCAATACCTGCGTCATTGTGTAAAGCAGATCTGGTGTTGTGCAGCAGCAGGCGACGATTTCTCCTCCTGAAAGCCTCTTTGATGATCAATAAAGCGATCAGACCGGTGCTGATAGTCACACCGACGCCGAGACCGATCGTTGCGTTTCTGCCCAGCCAGCTCATCGTTTACTACCCGTGAAGTAGAAATAAACTGCCCTTAAAATCCTCCTGAATCCCTCGATATCCGTTCATCAGCGTTACTCTCGCGCGATTCTTACTCGTTGATCTCTTGCTGTCATCATTTAAAGATATAAACATCGCTCTGTCTCATCTTTTCACTGCTGATCGTTTAATAAACGACTAAATATCAGTAGAGCATCACACTCACGCAGTTTGACAGTTGATGTCATGCGTGTTTTGTGTGTGAAAGAGCGTGTGTGTTTATGTGGCTGCATTGGCGCACCCTGGTGGACGGGAGGAGCGACAAAAGTTGTTTTTATTATTAGATTTTAGTATATTTATTTATGAATGAACATACCTCACATATAAAATACAAAATAAAAAATAGTAAGAAACATCGTAATACTGTTCCGAAGTTCAAATGGCTGCAAAAAAAGGAAGTTTTTTTTTTTTATTAATTTATCAATACAAAGTAGGGCTGGTGGCTCAGTGGTTAGCACTGTCGCCTCACAGCAAGAAGGTCCGAGCCCCAGCTGGGACAGTTGGCATTTCTGTGTGGAGTTTGCATGTTTTCCCTGTGTTGGTGTGGGTTTCCTCCGTAGTGTATTAATGCGCATGAGTGTGTATGGGTGTTTCCCAGTACTGGGTTGCAGCTGAAAGGGCATCCGCTGTGTAAAACATATGCTGGAATAGTTGGTGGTTCATTCCACAGTGCCGACCCCTCATGAATAATGGGACTAAGCTGAAAAGAAAATTAATGAATGAAAGTAGGGGCGACATGGTGGCTCAGTGGTTAGCAATGTCACCTCACAGCAAGAAGGTCACTGGTTCGAGCCGCGGCTGGGACATTTGGCATTTCTGTGTGGAGTTTGCATGTTCTCCTTGTTTTGGTGTGGTTTCCTCCATAATGTATGTGTGCGAATGTGTGTTTCCCAGAACTGAGTTGCTGCTGAAAGGGAAAATGCTGTGTTAAACATTTGCTGGAATAGTTGGCGGTTCATTCCACAGTGGCAAACTCTGATGAATAAGGGAATAAGGCGAAGGAAAATTAATGATACAAAGTATAAAAACTAAATACATGGTGCTCGCTCTTCAATAAAGTCTTTTCGAAGATTACGCCACATACATTCTGAACCAAATATTCAGCAAAACTGGTTTTGAACAAGAAAAACAGCAAAATAAGACATAAATAGAAATAAATAAAACTGTTGTCTGAGATGGAAACGTCCTTCAAACACTGAGTTTTAGGACAGAAATCTTTTCTATAATTTTTGTATTCTGGGTTTCTATTTTTTGATGTTTCTATTTGGAACATAACGGCGGCGCAGTGGGATCTCCTCACAGCAAGAAGATTGCTGGTTCGAGTACCGACTGGTTCAGTTGGGATTTCTGTGTGGAGTTTGCATGTTCTCCCCATGTTGGCGTGGGTTTCCGCCAGGTCCTCAGGTTTCCTCCACAGTCCAAAGACATGCGCTGAGGGTGAATAGAATAAACTAGCTAGTGTATGTGTGTGAAAGATGTGTATGGTTGTTTCCCAGTGGTGGGTTGCAGCTGAAAGGGCATCTGCTGTGTAAAACACATGCTGGATAAGTTGACGGTTCATTCCGCTGTGGTGACCCCTGATTAATAAACGAACTAAGCCGAAAATAAAATGAATGAATGAATACTTTTCAATTATTCAATTATTATTGGTCCGTGTAGGTCCGTGTACGTTGCGTTCATTCGATTTTTGATCTTAAACGAAATTTAAAAAACGAGGAAACGGCCGTTTTTCGTTTTTTTATTTGGCTACAAAAAAATTAAATAACTGATTTTGGCTCGATTTTCTTTTTTTGGTTTAGGGTAGGAAAACGGATAAATGACTTTAAAATTCATTATCCACATGTAGGCGGTTCTGAAACGCCCATTTCCTCTGATTGGTCAATCGAATCTGGGCTCCTGACGTCGCCTTCAAAATAACAGTCCTGTAGTCTTCGTCCTCTACGGATCAGCACCCAGGCATTTAATATATTATATTTAATATATAATATATTAGCAGTATTATTAGACATTTATCATTACAATTTATCATTACTGTTATAGTTCGCCGCCAAATTTGCTGCTATGCACCTGATACTGAGCAAGATTTGCGAGCAGCACTTGGTTTGCACGATTGTTTCCAAGCTAGGCCTATATAATAGTAATAATAATAATAATAATAATGATAATAATAATACTAATAATAATAATAAGCCTTCCTTTCGAGACTTTCGCTGGATTAATGTCGAGTACAAAATATCTGTTTTAACAGTTGTCAGTATTTTGTGATTTTTACTTTTTTATTATTTATTATTTATGTATTTATTTACATTGTCTGGGCTGGTGTTGTATATTATGCTACAAAAACTTTGTAATAAACTGTGTTTACATTAATTTATCTATAGCCTATATTATTTCTTAAACATTATTTTACTTCAAAAGTCCACAGAGCAGATATTAGGTCCCATAAATGAACGATGCAAGAGTCCGATCTAACAGCCAAAGAGAACTATGATCTTTATTTTTTTCGTTTAAAATAACTGTTTAATATACATAATACACCAAATTTACGTATCATTTGAACCACATACTAGAACATAGGCCTATGCCCGATCCATTCATTGCATATGCATAAATTATATAAAAACAGCAGTATAATTATTTGACATTAATTAACGTCACTGCCAAACTTCTTGCTGCTATGCTCCTGATGCTGAGCAAAATAAAGCCATTTCTGAGCAGCACATTGCATTATTGTTTCCGAGCTAGGCGCAGCTTTATAATACGTGATTATTTTCACGTACACTGTAAATGCGAATAGTATTCCTTACTATCAAAATTCTAGTGTGTTTACTTAATTTTAAGCTAATTGTTGAGTTTACTAGAAATGCATTAGTGTTGCTGACATAGTAAGGTATAAAGTTCCCATAACTAATGTAATTTGAGTAAAATTGCTTATAAGGGCTAAGCCATGCTGTTACGCATGCGTACTGGGTGGTGATTTCCCATCCCCCATCCCGAGTCACAACCAACCGCCACCCTGCACCGCCATTGAAGGACAGGATTTCATATTGAGAAGATGTACTGCTGTAAATCAAGGTAAACTTTTCGTTTTAATTACTACTTTGATTTTATTTGTATAGTATCAGTAATCTGTTTATTTCCTGCACTTTGTGAAATTGTTTGCTGTTTTGTGAACTAATTAATAGCCCATGATGTTGTGACTAAACGTTTTGACCACTGCACGTTATTTGCAATACTGTCTACTTTACTAGATAAGCTATTTTTAGCTGCTTAGTCCTTTTTAATAACTATTAATAATTTGTAAAGTTAGTAGTAATTTGTAAAGTGGGCGTTATGCTCTAAAAGAGCGGGCCGCGCCATTTTAAATGATGCACTGAGAGAGCAAGAGCGCGCGCAATGATCCGTTCAAATAGATGTAAAGTTAACACATAGCTGTAGGTCTACATTTTTAAAAAAGAAAACGAAACCTATTTATCCGCATTACAAATACAGTAACGTTAGTTATCGCTGAACTTTAGTGGCGCTTGTTGTGACGAAAATATGCGTGTGTTTTTTTAAGATTTACTTTTATGAGATCACCTGCAGGAAGCAGGTGAGGAGATCAGCTGTGATTCGGTCCGGCGTCAGCGAGCGGCTCATGACCAGACCAGTCGTTTTTTTCTCCATGATCGCCGGGGCAGCAGCAGTTTTAACCCGCCGAGGCTTTTAGAACATTATAAAGCAGTTTCAGCTCAAAATGGACCCGTGAGTGTCGTAGGTAATTTAGGATTTCGATGCGATTACGATTCGTGTCACTGTATGAGGCAGATACATATTTACACATGATGCTAAAGTGTGCTTATGCTAACAATCCCTATGAAACTTAAAGTTAAACTTATGAAAATGCGAGAGATATTTAATTAACTCATTTATTTGTTTTATATGCTATTTGTCTTTTCTTTATGCCGTTTTGAAGGTTTATTCCAGTGTTGCCGTTACGTTATTGAGTGTTTTGTATTGCTGTAATGACAAATAAATCTGACCAGACGCGACTGAATATGTGTGATGGATAACGTTAATGATGAAGTGGTATAACTCGTACAACCAAGCACAGAAACATCCCTTTGTTTGCTCAATATCACACAAAGGCATCAGCAAGCCTTTGTTATAAGCAAACTTTCTGTAAAGAAACAGGCTTTGTTAAACCTGTTAGTTTGCATTTTTAAAGAAGGTTTCACTAATTTTTAACAATTTAGGGCAAATAAATTTGAACAATTACAAGGTTGTTTAAATGTAGCACACCATTAGAGTATTGTGAGTGGCATATTTGGTTTGTAATATCATTATACCCTTTATTTATTTTTTTATTTCAGACTACCAGTTTGTGAGCTGATATGCAGTGGAAATGTAAGTTTTGCACTTACACATCAAAGAAAACTTTTTGAACAATACCGCACAAGCCATAGAACATATTCATGAATTGTTCTATTAACGTTACCTTGTCTCCATACTGAGTATCAGGGTAATTTTAAATCATTTAATGCATTAAAAGTACATTTAACAAAATTCTCAGCAAAGAACTGCATGATCAAGAATAGTCCGAATATTTTGTCCATTTGAATAATCATCTGAGGACTAGTTAGAAATAGGGTTGTTGTGTTGTGAAACCATTAATTTATGTTACAATACTATACCAGCTGATGTATGGTGATACCAAGTAGTATTGCAATACTGTAATTGATAACTTAAATCCATGAAATAAAGAAAAATGTCAGAAATAATATATTGTATATGTTATTATAGGCCTACTTGAATTTAAATAATTCCCTTATTGTTGAAAAAAGTATTTGCACATCTCTTCACCTAAAATGTATTCATTCCAGCAAAAAAAATAAATTAAAATAAAGATACATAAAGAAAAGAGCATTTTTCCAACAAAAAAATGTCAAAAATTGTTTCCTGTTGCTATTTTGGGTTTTTCATCTATCATACTTTTTTCACACTTATTATCGGATAAGAATCCAAAGTAATTCAAAATTTCACTTTATGAGTCATTCTTTTTAATAGATTGTCACGGTTGTTGTAGCTATTATATCATATTGACAGGAACAGAAATAAACGAATTCCGATTCAAAATGAACCATCACAAAATATGCAATAGGCTACTATAAAAGGCGCAAATTCTACAGTTTTACAACCTTAGAAGGCTCC